GCGTTAAAAAGTTATTATTTACATATTCATATCATAATAGTATCCATTTCAGAATATTATTCATGGAGGAAATAATTATGTACGCGGCTATTATTGTGGAGCAAGAAGAAGTTATACAGAGAAGAAGACTTCCGAGGGAGCTCTGAGACAACAGTTTTTTTTTTGACAGTTTTTAAACGTTTGCAGTTCGGGTGGTCTTTACAAAACTGCAGCTGATCTTGTGTGGTGCATTCATATTTTCCACGTATGCTAATACATGAATACATACATAAAATGAAATCAATTTTGCCATTATAAAATTACTGACTTTTCCGGCAATTCGTAATCCATTGCTGCGGTGTATTTTATTTAAAAGAAATCCCGTCTGTTGCAGTGGCTGTCAAAAAGAACAATTAAAATGTAAACAAAGAACAACTGTTTCACTATAGAGAAACTTTCGCCGCAATTGGCAAATAAAACGAGATTTTCGCTTGTCATAATTGACTGTGCATACCTATGACAACAGTTGATGACACGATAATGACTATTGAACAAGGCTTGGGACGTGGGCAAATAAAAAAAATCACTCAAAAGTGCAGTCAAGTGTCAGCCAAGAAAACGGGTGACTGCCATAAGTGCAAAGGCCTAATACGCGGTGAGAGTGGAATCCGCTGTGAAGGCATATGCGGCAAAGTGTTTCACTGGGCAAAGAAATGCTCTGATCTCGATGAGTTCAGCAAAAAAGTCCTTGCGGAAAATGCCTATGTGCGCTTTATTTGCGATGGTTGTCTCACATATATGCATAATATTGATGAGGTGTGGCGAAATATGAATATCTCTATAGAGAATAATAGTAAAAACATAAAAGAGTGTAAAGACGACTTTCAAGAGTCGCAAAAAATGCAGGTTAAATAGCTAAAGCTCCTTTTAGAAGCTATAGAGAGGAAATTCGGTGAGCGTATAGATGCAATGCAAAGAGTTCAAAAAACATGCGAAACTGGCATAGCTGAGGCCAATAAGATGAAAGCTGTAGCTGAAGATGTGAAAAAGCATAGCCATGATCTATGCGAGGCTATGGTACGAAATGAGAGTGAAAGTAGAAAAATATGTGAAGAAATAAAAAAGTCAGTAAGTGAAGAGCTGAAATCAAGTCATCACAGCAAGGCCTCATATGCTGAGCGTTTAAAAAGCGGATTAGTGAACAACAAAGAACCAAAAAAAAAAATAAAGAGAAACCCCTGATCATAAAACCGAAAGAGAAGCAAGACGCGATGAAAACAAAAGATGACCTGAATAAGAACGTTGATCCATCGGATCTAAAAATGTGCAGGGTAGGAAAAGTGGTACAATCATTATTCAAAGCGAAAACGAATCTGAGCGCGATAAAATAAAGACCGCAATTGCAAAAAAAATGAGTGACCGCTATGAAATTAGAGTGCCGAATACGGCTAAACCCAAGCTTATGGCGTTTGGAGTAAGCTTTAAATATGAAAACGAGCAACTTGTAGAAATGATAAAAAAACAAAATGACTGTTTAAAAAGTGCTGACTTTAAAATTATTAAACACATTGAAGTCAAGAAAGATAGATCTAAATACTATAATGTGCTCATTGAAACGGACGTTGATACCTTCTCGGCAGTGCTCAAAAGCGAAAAAATAAATATTGAGTGGGAGAAATGTAGGGTCCAAGATGGTATGGGTGTGTCAGTCTGCTACAAATGTAAGGGCTTCAATCATATAGCTACGAAGTGCAAGGATGAAGAGCTCTGGCTGAAGTGCTTGGGTAATCATAAAACAATGGAGTGCACAAAGGAGCAAATAAACAAGTGTATCAATTGCATTTGTGCAAACAAAAAATTTAATCTAGGGCTCGACGTGAACCACTCGACAACTAACCGACAGTGTCCTGTATACATGAAGAAACTAGAGTATAAGAGAAATAGAGCCAGCTATTAACAATTACAGTCAGTTAATAGGAACCGTGACATGGAGTCGACTGTTCAGCCAGTACATGAAAAGCATAACAGTTACTTGAAATGCGTTTATCTTAACATAAGTAGTATAGTAGCTAATAAAATAGAACTTGAAAGGCTAATTGAAATAGTTGATCCGGATATAGTTCTATGTTCCGAAACTTGTACAACAGAGGAAATATATGGCTATGAAATACAGTTTCCAACATGTCAAGTTGTAAGATGTGACTCGCACAGTAGACATACAGGAGGGTTAATCATAATATTGCGTAACGCACTAGATTTTAAAATAATACTAAACAAATCTATCGATAAAAATGTTTGGTGTGTAGTTATCCAACTGAAAAATCTCGAAACCAAATGGAAAATCGGGGTGGTCTATCACTCACCTAGTTCAAGTGATGCAGATTTTCTAGAATATATGGAGACCATTTTGTCGGAAATATGCGATAACATGGTAAATACCATTATTATCGGAGATTTTAATATAAACCTGAATATAATGTCGACATATAGTAAGAAACTGAATGAGATATTCGCCCATCAGGCAATGGAACAGTTAATCAACTTTAATACTAGGGTTCCTGAATATTCCGAAACACTGATCGATTATTGTACTCGAACGCAAAGGAAGTGTCATGTGAAAAAGCGGAGGAACATAGAATATCGGATCATGAAACTATAATGTTCAAATGCGATATAAAAAAACAAGGCCCTATCAGTAAACTGTCTGATATAACTTCGTGGGATGGGTACAGCCCAGACAACCTCATAAATATTTTGCGACAATGCACCTTCGCTGACCTGAGTAGTCTCAGTCCTGATGGTATGCTCGAACATATTAATAATTGTTTGATTTCGAGTATGAATAAACCTACTTCTCGTGTACAAAAGCGGGTCAAAATCCGAAATAAATGGTATGACAGACATTTTCTCGGGGTTCAGCGCAACACAAAGCAAGAGTTCCCATATAAAAGGGCGAAACTTTTTTGAGAAAAGAAAACGCTAAAAGATATGCGTGTAGTATATATGTAGCACTTTTAGGGATTATGTTAGTTCCCAGGCAAATTCATACAAGGTGGTGTCATCAGAGCATCTGAGATTTTCGCAGAATGTTCTCAATATCAAAACGATGAGTTTTTGTACACAATCTTGTATTCATTCGCTTTGTTTTGTTCTTTATCTGGAGATTTTTGCAAATAGTTGAAAATTTATACACACTTTAATCAGTAGTGCCTTGGTTTACGCAACTTCGCATTTCGGAATATATATCGCCACTGGTATATGTATCGTGATAGTGTTATTAGAACAGCTGGTTTGAATTGCAAATGGCAAAATTTTATATATCGCTGAAGAGAGGAAGTGAGTAAGTAAGAGTATTTTTATAATAACTTAAAGCTTACAGTCGGCAACCAAAAACTAACACCAAACCTTTTGGTTATTGTTTTTTTACAATTCCCACCAGTTTATTTGATCTCGCCTTGATATATGTATTCGCACACAGCTAGCAATGGTAACTTGTTTAAGGAGATGGGGTGTAATAGAGATAGATATTTAGCTAAAATAGAAAATATGGCAAAGCTCATATTTACGTATTTTGACATATGGTACAGAATGGGTTTCTTTCTTTTCAGTAGGACACATTATACACACACATGTGCACATATATTTGCGTGTTTCTACTCAGTTCTGCAAAATTTTTAGAAGTATCGATACGCGTTGGTGTATTTTCGGTGGAATTTTTGTGTGCATGCACACAAATACCACAAAATTTCGCTATTACGAGCTACGTTTAAGTAAAACAAAACGGGTTGAATCGTATCACAAAACCATACCTTCGAATTTGTTTTGTTGCTGCTTGGTAGTACTACAGTACATTGGTACGTAGTTCACGTAGTCCCGTTGACGTCCTTGCGCCGTGTATGTTCTGTCTCGGTCTGCGTTTCTTCACTTATCCCTCTCGTTCGGGGTAATTGTACATACACGCGACACGCTAACGTAATTTCGTTCAACGGTTTGATTTATTTTCGTTTATTGTTTTTGTAAATTCGTGCTGCATCAACAGTGGTAATATATCATTACTATTTGTATTTATTTATTTATTTAAAGTCAAGTTGAAAATAATTTTCCTATGTTCTTAAAAATATGTTTATTTTTGTGCGAGCATTTTAAATGTGCATATATATGTGTAGTGGTTTTGGATGGGGTGAGGTGATAAAATTAATTTCAGACAAATATGTGCTTTATTTTAGTGAATTTTAACTGACGTGCTTAGATTGGTATTAAAGCGCAAGACAATGTTTACAAAGTGATTTAAGTGGTAAGGACTCGTGTTTTATACCGCTTCGATTATTAGCGATAGTATGTAATATGGCAAAGGAAATGTAATAATTATAACTGCGTTTTCGTAATTATTTTTCTGTATCTTTACTGGCTGGCGCCAGGAATGATGGAATACCCTACTGGCTGCCGTTTTCGTAAGTCAAAATTTGCAAGAAATAAGCTGAAGATAGAAAATTTAAAGCGAAAATGAGCATATTTTGCAAGTTGTACTGGATATTTTTTGGCAAATGTTAGGTTATTTATACTAAGGTATGTGGTTTATAATAACTTGGGTTAGGGTTGCCAGACGTACTGCTTTTGGGAGTACACGTACTTCTTTTTATTGCAATGTACTCTATTGTACTCCCAAAAAAAATATATGGAAATGTACTCCTTTAGTAGTTTTGTACTTCTTTTGTCTCCTNATGGCAAAATTTTATATATCGCTGAAGAGAGGAAGTGAGTAAGTAAGAGTATTTTTATAATAACTTAAAGCTTACAGTCGGCAACCAAAAACTAACACCAAACCTTTTGGTTATTGTTTTTTTACAATTCCCACCAGTTTATTTGATCTCGCCTTGATATATGTATTCGCACACAGCTAGCAATGGTAACTTGTTTAAGGAGATGGGGTGTAATAGAGATAGATATTTAGCTAAAATAGAAAATATGGCAAAGCTCATATTTACGTATTTTGACATATGGTACAGAATGGGTTTCTTTCTTTTCAGTAGGACACATTATACACACACATGTGCACATATATTTGCGTGTTTCTACTCAGTTCTGCAAAATTTTTAGAAGTATCGATACGCGTTGGTGTATTTTCGGTGGAATTTTTGTGTGCATGCACACAAATACCACAAAATTTCGCTATTACGAGCTACGTTTAAGTAAAACAAAACGGGTTGAATCGTATCACAAAACCATACCTTCGAATTTGTTTTGTTGCTGCTTGGTAGTACTACAGTACATTGGTACGTAGTTCACGTAGTCCCGTTGACGTCCTTGCGCCGTGTATGTTCTGTCTCGGTCTGCGTTTCTTCACTTATCCCTCTCGTTCGGGGTAATTGTACATACACGCGACACGCTAACGTAATTTCGTTCAACGGTTTGATTTATTTTCGTTTATTGTTTTTGTAAATTCGTGCTGCATCAACAGTGGTAATATATCATTACTATTTGTATTTATTTATTTATTTAAAGTCAAGTTGAAAATAATTTTCCTATGTTCTTAAAAATATGTTTATTTTTGTGCGAGCATTTTAAATGTGCATATATATGTGTAGTGGTTTTGGATGGGGTGAGGTGATAAAATTAATTTCAGACAAATATGTGCTTTATTTTAGTGAATTTTAACTGACGTGCTTAGATTGGTATTAAAGCGCAAGACAATGTTTACAAAGTGATTTAAGTGGTAAGGACTCGTGTTTTATACCGCTTCGATTATTAGCGATAGTATGTAATATGGCAAAGGAAATGTAATAATTATAACTGCGTTTTCGTAATTATTTTTCTGTATCTTTACTGGCTGGCGCCAGGAATGATGGAATACCCTACTGGCTGCCGTTTTCGTAAGTCAAAATTTGCAAGAAATAAGCTGAAGATAGAAAATTTAAAGCGAAAATGAGCATATTTTGCAAGTTGTACTGGATATTTTTTGGCAAATGTTAGGTTATTTATACTAAGGTATGTGGTTTATAATAACTTGGGTTAGGGTTGCCAGACGTACTGCTTTTGGGAGTACACGTACTTCTTTTTATTGCAATGTACTCTATTGTACTCCCAAAAAAAATATATGGAAATGTACTCCTTTAGTAGTTTTGTACTTCTTTTGTCTCCTTTTTCCAGCTATTAATATTTTATCTTATACAGGGTGTAAAATAATAACTATCGCACATCTATAAAGGACCCTTTTATTTTTCAAAAAACCTGTGCGACAGTTATCTTACGCCCTGTACTTTGCCATTCATATTGTGGCAAACACTACTTAGTAAGCAAAGTTAAGTGTGATAGTGAAAAGGTATAGGCATGGTCGTAGCAAGGTAGGTGCAGAGCGCTCGGGTATAAAAATCAGAAAAATATTAAATTAATTATAAGGCTTAAATTAAAAAACTGGCCATATATTCAGAAAGAGTTTGGAATTATGTTGTAGAATTTAGTTAGGGAAAATTTTCTATAAGGGCGATCATAGAAGAGATGGTGAGCGAAGGGGGAGTGGGCGTGGTACCCCCGACCACCTAGGCCCCCTATGGGTCCCTAGGAACGCCTTAAAAAAATCGCCAAATATCACAATTGGGTGCCACGCCCACTCCCCCTTTGTTCATCTCTTTAACGACCGCCCTTGTTGGAAAGCCAACTCATTTAGTTATTTATTTTTAACATTTATTGTTGCTTTGAAAAAGATTTCTAAAATATCTTTGCTTATTTGTACCTAATTAATGGTAATTTGTAACAATAAATTGCACAAAAAATTAAAAAAAAAATTTTACTCCTTTTTTACGTCTTGTACTGCTTTTTTCTATCGAAAATATAAATGTACTCCTTTCTCCGTTTCAAAATCTGGCAACCCTAACTTGGGTCACGCCATCCACATCATTTTTGAGCAGAACACACTTTCGCGTTGGCGGCCTTTGACCGTCATCAGAAAAAATGAATTTGGCGAATGCCTTATTCGGGGATGAATACGCCAGGGATAAAATTATTCGTACACACGCCTACTATGCACGCAGGATTGCTTTTGAGAAACAAAAAATAATTAACTCCAAATAGTTTCAAAACGTATAGTGCAAAATGGAATTTATCGAATAACGATTTAAATAAGACGCATTTCATAACCCTTTTTGTGCAAAGGGCCTGTGCCAGTTGATAGACAATTATGAGGTGAATGAAAATTTTCAGCCCGGCAGGGCTGGTGAAAAATTCGACGGCAAGAATTACACCTACCTGACGGTTTTGAATTATTTTTTTGGACACATGTTATTACTAAGACGTCTAATAATCGCATGGCTTTTAGTTCTAGAAGAATCAAAGTCAGTAAAGACAAGTAATTTTTGTATAATTTCTGCAGTTTTCTCAACTTTTGCACCAGAGCAACAGTCAAAAATTTCAAGCACTAAGATTGGCACAGCAGAAATGTAAAATTTTCTCACCATAATAAAAAGTTTTTTCACCATGGAACTTTTCTTCTAATTGACATGAAATTACTGTCTGCATTTCTTTATACATTCTGCACGTTTGGAATAAACTTTTTTGTTTACTTATTCTTTAGAACGTTCCTGATGATATGTTAACGCATATTTAAAACGCATTCGGTTCTGTTCTGGCTGTGAAATGGGATTATCTGGAATGTATAAAGAAACGTAGCCACTATCTCAATGCTTGGAGCTCTGCCACTGAGGGCCTTTGCCAACTGATAAATAAGAGAAAATTTGGAAAGATCAAAAACAAATTTTGAGACTTCTCGTTGTGAATTACGAACGCCATAATTTTTACCTCTCTCGTGGGACTACAACTTAGGGTTTACACCGGACAATATTGTCAAGACAATTATATAAAAATGATGTGTTTGTTGTAATATGAATTCGCCGTGTTTACAACAAACACATCATTTTGACATAAGTAGTTGTCTTGACAATATTGTCTTGTGTTACCCCTAGATATGGAGAGATAATAATAAAACAATAAATAGGATAAACAAATAGTCGCAAATAAATTTGATTTATTTTATAACTGTAAACTAACGTAGCTTTTTGGGTAATTATCTAGGTGGGCTTTCAACCCCCAAAATTGGTCAAAATTTTGGAAAGGGGGTACCATTAGACGCGTCTGGACCCCAATAACAAGAATACTAAAGCGGAAATTAACCCGATCAAAAGTTATTAACAAAAAACTTTTCCACAATAGCACTTTTTTTATTCACTTACTACACTCACAAAAATGCACACAATGCTCATATTTCACTATAAATTAGGGCTGCCAGATAGCTCTGTTGCCAAACCGGGACACTTAAGGGGGGGGAGAGGCCTCTTGCTCCCTTCCCTTTCGTTTCGACAAAAATTACGTACGAAAGGATGTAGTAAAATTTTATTTTGACAAACAGAAACAAAAACATAAAAACATGAGATCATTACAACGTACACTAGCAAAACAAAACAATTTATCACAACTAAAGCACAGAGAATTTTTCACAATGCATGTACCTTTTTTGTTCCTTATAAAAATACAGTTTATACTAAATACATCTGAAAACATAAAAACAAATTTTCTAAACTTTGTGCAAAACTCGGGGAAAATGCATTAAATTTGCATACAAATTTGCAACTTTCTATTCAGACTTTTTATAAAAATGTTTAAAATGAAGTTTTGCAGCCCATTAATTTTTAGTTGATTTTTGGTATTCATTTTAATGAGAGTTTCTTCCATACAAACTATGTTCGACATTTTTTTTGTATGTGGAAGACACTGTCAGCAAAAAATAAATAATTGCAAAAAATCAACGAAATTTTCTGGTAACTTCAGACTTGCACTTTACTAATTGGCTCAAAAGCCACATTTTCAAAATTTTTATTTATTTATTTATTTATTTATTTAAACGCCAATCGGCTTTACACATAATAAAAAGTAAAATTTTGTACCAATTTAAAAACGTAAATAGTTAACAATAATTATCAATTGCAAAAATTATAAATAGATGTCGAATGAGTACATATGTATAACTCAAAGAACTGATTTTAGAACACGAATGAGACCAGCGTGAGAACCTCCAAAGAAATTAACACTTGGTGCATGTCGGTTGACTAAGCTTGCTATTCTGTTGTACGGTCCATAGGCGATATAGTTCCGGTTAGATTGCGTAACATCTAGCAGTCGTCTCGATCGAAGATCAGCTCTAGAGCCGATGAACCTGAACTGCTCCAGTATTTCTGGGGAATCTATCAACCCATTTACGACCTTATAAAAAAAGGATAGATCCGCTATTTGCCTTCTGCTGTATAAGGTCTTTATATTGTACCTGTTGTATATATCACTCGTATTTACACAGCTTCCGTCTTGGGAGTGATACAGCAGGAACTTACAAAACTTACGTTGCACTTTTTCGACGTTGTTTATTTGGAGCTCGGTAAATGGTGCCCAGACAATGGAGCAATATTCAAGTATCGGCTGCACGAAGGTAGAAAATAGTCTGAGGAGTGTTCTATGGTTCCTGAACTCTTTCCCACTTCTACATATGAATCCAAGCGCACGATATGCTCGTGCAGAAATGTGGTTAATGTGCTCTGAGAAGGAGAGTCTATCATCCACAAACACACCCAGATCCTTAATTGAGTTGACTGTTTTCACAGTTTGACCACACAAGGAATAATTAGCGCTAACTTTATTAAGACGTCGAGAGAAACACATGACAGCACATTTTTGTATATTCAGATGCAGCTTATTTGTTGTGCACCAATTTTCAATTTCTAAAATATCCCTCTCTATAATGTCTATGTCGTGATTACCGCCTACTGCTCTGAATAGCTTCATATCATCCGCATATAATAAGAACTCGGATTTGAGTTTCGTGCCAATGTCGTTTATGAATATACTGAAAAGGATAGGGCCCAAGTGAGATCCTTGAGGTTATAGGAAGTTATACCATACTCATTTGACAGATGACCGTTGACGCGAACTTGCATTCGCCTACCCGATAGATATGAGCGGAACCAGTATAAGGCTTTTGACCGGACACCATAACTTTTTAATTTACTTAAGAGAATTTCGTGATTCACCATGTCAAACGCCTTGCTGAAGTCGGTGTATAATGAGTGTACGTCTTGGCCGTGGTTAAGTGCATTGAGATACTTCGATATATTTGCGACTATTTGTTTACTCTATTTATTGAAAGGTAATCACTCGAAAAAGCTTGTGTTAATTATATTGATAACAGAACCTGGCAGGTCGCACGTTGCCTAATTCTCAAGTAACATCAAATCCACAAATGAATACATTGCTTGAATTACCATCAACATCGCGATGTATAAATTTCGACAACAAACAAAAATAGACCTTTCGCACGAGCGTTTGTTTGGTTTTTCAAGACCATTTATAATTTTCTTTTAATAAAATCACGATTTGTCAAATGCTTAAATTTATTTATCTAATAATAATGCACAACACAACCC